GGTCCTCGTGGGAAGGATGGAGCTGGAGAGCAGGAGGGCTTTGGATAAGTGGAGGGCAGACCCACGCGCCCATTCAACCTAACATCTCTACTTCTCCCTGGAGAGGATGGGGATGGGGCTCCATTCTCTCTCTGTCCTGGTACATACCTTCCTCCCTCCTCATCAGCATGTCAGGCTCCTTGCTAAACCCACCTGGCCAGGCTCCTTCCTGAACCCATCTGGCCAGGTTCCTTTCTGAACTCCCCTGGCCAGTCTCCTTGCTGAACCCATTCTATCCCATTCTTGCTCATGCATGCACCCACATGGGGACACACACACCCCACCCAATACTCATTTCAATCTCTATGCATTTGCTTAGCCAGTCCCTCCTCCAGACTGTGAGCCCCACAGGAGCAGAAAGTGGTATGCTTGTGGCTCATGACTGACTCCCACCTACTGGACTAAGCACAACTCAGGGATTGACTCCACTGACATTTGGAACACACTGGGGACCGCTTTCACATGCTCCTGTGTATCCTACCAAGCTCTGGCACCAGGAGCCCAATAAGGGCAGAAAACCCAAGGTGGCCTCTTTGGACTTTCTGTGTTAAGAATTACAGCTCAGGACCCAGGCCTGACTTCCAGCTCTGCCACCTGCTAGTTGTCTGACTTGTGGAAGTTACTTAATCCCTCTAAGCCTCAGTTTCCTCATCTGTAAAATGCAGTTAATAGGAGGTCCTGCCTGGAAGGCTGCTGCAAGGATCTAGTGAGATGATACATGGAAAGCACACAGCACAATACTTGGCACATAGTAAATGATCAATGAACAGCAATTGCATTAGTTAGCATAGGGCAGGCTATGCTGTGACAATGAGCCCCAGTGTCTTGGTGGCTTAACACAGCGATCTTTATTTCTCATACACCTTGATTCCTCCATGGGTCAGCTGTCCTCCATTGTGAAAATCAGTGATTTAGGCTACTTTGATCTTGTGATTCCATCATCTTAACACGAGGCCGTCTCATAATTGCCTCAGCTGAGGAACAAACGGGCTGGAGAATGATATCAGTGCTTTTCGCTGCCTCAGCCTAGAAGCGACATACATTCCTTCCAGCCACATTTCAGAGGCCAGGGCTAGACATGTGACTCCACTTAGTTGAAAGTGGAAGTAGGAGTACATCCTCCCCGTGCCCAGGAGGGAGAAGACAGCCAGATCCTGTGATAAGGAAGCACCAGTGATGTCTTCCTCCATACCTGTGGTTACTGGCCCTTTTTCTGTACCCATGTCCACTTCGTTTTCCTGGACCCAGAGCCAACTCACACCCTGCTGGCAATTTTCCTATTTCCTCCTTCATTTCTGTCATGTCTGCTCCCAAAGAGCGGCAGAGGAAACGCAGGCCCCCGCTGCCCTTCAGCTGAAGCCCAGCAGTGGCCCAGGGGAAATAGCTCCTTACAGAAGACGGGCTGTTTCCGAAGCCCTCCCCTACCCTCCTCCAGCCCCTTTCCTCTGACTGAAGGACCGTCATCAACTCGGTGACAACCCAGAATTCAGGCCTCCAGCATCTGATTGCAATTGTGCCTCTGACTGTCAGGGATAAATGTCTGTTGTCTTAAGGAAGATCTGCGTTGATGGAGGTGTCAGCACAGGCGGTGGTGGTGGAACCGGGCTCCCTGTGAGATGTAATTTGTGGGCAAGTCATGTATGTCCAGCTCCTGCCAGAACTCGGGCCCCTGAAGGTGGGGTAGGGAAGACTGGGTGTGTGGGGGACAGATAGGTGCAGCTGCGTGGGGTGAAGGGCAGAGAACCAGAAGCCAGAAAGTGGAACCATCAGCCCAGAGGGGAAACTGTAGAGGACGCTGGGCAGTTGGGCAGGAGATAATGAGGTTCCCTGAAAGTGGAGTCTGGGAGGACTAACAGGCACAGGAACAAGAACATGGGGCCAGCAGGAGCTTTGGAAATTAGATTTGAACCCTGGCTCTGCCACTCAACAGCTGTGTGACCTTGGATTCATTGCTCAACCTCTCTGAGCTTCATCAGTAAAGAAGTGCTCAGAAGCCCTGCCCTGTGAACTTATAAAAATGCAGTGAGGTGGATCTGAAATGTTCTTCCCCTTGAGGTTTGGCCCCCAGTGGGAAAGCCTGGTGGAGGAAGGCAGAGGCCCATTCTGGAGATGCTGAGCCACTGTAGTGGACAAAGGAGATTCCCCACCCAGACCCCTTTGATTGCATGATGCACTTGTCTTTCCACTGCTGGGAATGTTGGCTGTTCATGGCTCCCAGTTGTCCCCTTCTCAGGCACCTTCTTACCCATGAGGTTAAGTCTTCCACCACCCAGAGCAGCACACAGCCTGTGACCTATGATGTGGCCAGAAAAAGGCCGCCCCCTTTCCTTAAGATGGGACCAACTCTGTGATGCTTTGCCTGAAGCTACCGCCTGCCCAGATGAGACCTCATCCTTGCTCACTCAACTCTCGCCCCAGCCTTATCCTGATCCCTCACTCTCCTTCTGAAAGCAACACATCCCTTCAATACATTTTGGGCGCCTAAGTCCCCTTCTCAGTCTCTGCTCTAGAGAACCTAAGACAGACACCAAGCAAGGTTCCAAGAAACGGAGTCTAAGGTTTAGGGGTAGCCCTGGAACCAGGCCATGACCTGGGGCTGGCCCAGGCTGAGTAGGCAGAGAGGCCTCACACCTAGACACTGAGCTTCTAGCCCTTGGGTGAACTTTGAACCCCTGCCTTGTGGGGAATGGCCCTGAGCTACTGTGAGTCAGGAGGGGCATTTGGTACCAGCTTCAGGGAGAGAGGTGCTGAGCAGAGAGGAGGAAATTCACAACTCTTTTTCTGTTTATTGCTTTATTCATTGAAGTCTTATCCCCATGTACTTAAACAGGATTTGAGGAGCTTAAAACTAAATGCATTTAAAAGGGAATGATTGTAAAAGCAAAACAGTGCAAAAACCATGTCAAACGAGTGAAATATTTTTATTTCCTCAGAGGCTAGCTGGGATAATAAAGGTAGAGCTTCTTACGTAGACCACCAGGAAAGAGCGTTGTCTGAAACAGGGTCCCTGAAGAGTCAACAGATCCCCACGATTCACTGGGAGCTTCTCCTGGAGTTAAAGGTCCCTCTAGGATACCCTCCCTGTCTACTCCCAGAACTATGTCCCCTGCCAGAGAATACGGGTACTACCCCGTGGCACTTTGCAGGGCCTTGGGAAGTCCCTTCTCTTTCTGAGCACTCAGAGCACTCCCTCTGCTCAGTGAAGGGGCTGAGCCTGAAGATCCCTGGAGCACTTTCCACCTCATATGTTCAAGGACTGCCTAAGAAAATTGACACTCAGCAGCTCCCAGGGCCTCAGGCAGGTGGAATGGGAATCCACATCCCTAGGCCCCAGCTGGGAGATGCAGGCACTAGGAGAGTTGGGAGGTGATGCGCAAGGGCAAGGAGTGTGGGTGCAGGCTCCGTCTGGCCCAGGGATGAGGGAAGCACAGGGGAGAGGGATCCAGGCCAGAGGACAGAGGGGCAGCCTGCAAGCTCAGAAGAGGACCAGAATAACCAATGAGCCCATATCCCACCGGGAACGTTCACCCTGAGCTGGTGTTAGAGGTAAGAGAAAGGAGCAGGAGCAGAGGAACCACCCTGTCTTGGGCTGAGGGGGCCTGGGGCCAGGAAGTTTTGGGCTCTGGAGCTTGGTGTCCTCAGGATCTCAGGTGACTGTCTGTTACTGGTCCCTTACTAAGAGGCAGGTACTGCGCTAAGCATCTGAGGTGCATTCTCCCATCTAATCCCCCCAACACCCTTTAACATAGATTCCATCATTTGCTTCATTTTAAAGTGAAGCAAGGGTTAAGATCCCGGCCCAAGGTCACCCAGCTGGTAGGAGACAGATCAGGCTACACCCTGGGTTACCTCTGATGTCAAGCCAGCACAGCTTGGCACCCTGTTTCAGCACCTCCCTCAGGGAGACTCATGGTGTTCCCAGTCCTTAGAGGTCCTTAAGAAAGTCAAGCCCTGCTTTATTAATGTCTCATTAATCTTAGATACCACATTTGTATTCTAATAAGAGCCTTCTGGAGCTAGGCCCTTTATCCTAAGGGCACTAATGGGGAAATGTAAGCACCGCATCAGGACTGGGATAGGGGAGGCTTTGGCAAGGTATGCCCTTTCAGTATCCATGGATGCCGCCTGTTGTCAGCAGGGACCCCTAGCTGCTCTAGAACCCAGCCCTACCCCATCTCAAGATGCCCTGAGTATTTGCATCTCCCAGGACTCATGAGGCTGTCTCCAGGTCTGAGGGCGGCCGTCAGCGTTGGCAGCAAGCGCTCCTGTTGGCACAGGGGAAACATAAGCTGCATCTGCCACTTAAAAAGCATTTCTGAGAAGTGCAGAGGCGGCAAGAGTGTGCAGAATTGTCGGCGTGTGGGGATTAGCAGGCCGGCACGTTTCCTCCTGCAGGCAGCCCTGCTCCGCAGCGCTCAGAGACATAAGGCATTTCAGGAGAAGGATCGTCCAGGCACGGAGCAGCCATTAAAAGGAAACCCAGGGAAGGCCATGGGAAAAGAGTGGCTGCTTTCTAGGAATTATAGGCTCCACACAAAAGGAGCAGGGTCCCTGAGGACCCAGAGTGACCAGTGCCCAGCTCGGGCTAGGGCTTGCCATCAGCAGCCAACTGCTCTAGTGGCATTTCGAGAGCCCCAGAGAAATTCTGCAGTTACCTCCACACCAGCTTGTGATACTGCCATGATCCCCCTTCTACAGCTAGGGAAACTGAGGCTTAAATGAAAAGAAATCATTAAGAGTGTGGTTAGAACATGAGCGCTGGACCACACTGGTTCAAATCCCAGTTCTACCACCTTCTGGCTGTGTGTCCTTGGGTAATTCCCTTGGCCTCTCCGACCCTCAATTTTCTCACCTATAATGTGAGAGAAATAATAGTACTTCTCCCAGAGGTAACTATGGGAATTAGAAGAAAAATGAAGCTAAAGTGTCAGACTCGTAATAAATCCTCAATAAACAGTAGCTTTGATTATTATTAGATTATTCAGGTCAATTCAGTTCAATATTTATTGACTACTTGGTTGAATTTATTAAAGTATATTGTCAAAACAAGCCGGTTCTTCTCTCCCAGTTGATGACAATGTCGAACTCTGCCCTCTTCAGCCGGTTGTTCTGCCATTGGGTGGTTGCAGCTATTGGAACGTATAAAACACGGGGAATGACCCAGCAATGCCATTATGGGGTATATACCCAGGAGAATATAAATCATTCCACCATAAAGACATAAAGACACACCCATGTGAATCTTCATCACAGCACTATTCATAATAGCAAAAACACGGAATCAACCTAGGTAACCCATGGGGTTGTGTCCTAAAGCAGCTAGGGGTTCCTAGCTGGATGACAGGTGGCATCCATGGATACCAAAAGTCCTCACCTTGCCAAAGTCATAGGAGACGATGCTTCTCCTGAAATGCCTTATGTCCTGAGCACCACAGAGCAGGGCTGCCTGCAGGAGGAAATGTGCCAGCCTGCTAATCCCCACACGCTGACAATTCTGTGCACTCTTATCACCTCTGCACTTCTCGGAAATGCCCATCAGTGACAGACTGGATAAAGAAAATGTGGTACATATACACCATGGAATACTATGCAGCCATAAAAAGCGGAGCAAGATCATGTCCTCTGCAGGGACATGGATGGAGCTGGAGGTCATTATCCTCAGCAGACTAATACAGGAACAGAAAACCAAACATCGCATGTTCTCACTTACAAGTGGGAGCTAAATGATGAGAACTCATGAGCACAAAGAAGGGAACAACAGACACTGGGGCCTACTTGAGGGTAAAGGGTGGGAGGAGGGAGAGGAACAGAAACGATAACTATTGGGTACTAAGCTTAGTACCTGGGTGATGAAATGATCTGTACAACAAATCCCCCACGACATGAGTTTACCTGTATAACAAATCTGCACATGTACCCTGAATATAAGTTAGAAACAAATAAATACATATAAATAAACGCAGGCAAGCTGAGCCACCCCAAAGGCACCTGCCCTCTTGCTCCATCCTTGGAAGAGGGATTGAGAGTTATCACACACGAGGCTCTGCCTGTGCTGGCTATAGGGAGGTCTAAGTGGGAGAGGTCCCAAGGACTGAGGAAGCGGGAGGCTAGAAGACCAGATGTTGAAGGGGGACTTGGAGGAGCGAGAAGCTGGAGGTGAGTGGTGCGGGTCGGAGTTTGGAAGTCAGCCTCAGGAGCTGAGAGATGGGAGGTGAGCATCAGGAATATGGCATCAGAGAGGAGACTCAAGGTGTCAAAGATGAGCGTGAACCCTGAGTCACGCTCTGCAGGTGAGAGTTGGAAGTTAGAGCCTAGATGGGACTCCTGGAGGTCAGCTGTTGGAGGAGAGGCTTGGCAGGTCAGAGTCAGAGGGAAGACGGTAGTGAGAAGCTGGGTGTGTTTCTCAGGAGGTGTGTTAGTTTCCTATTGCTGTTGTAACGGATTATCACAAATTTAGTGGCTTTAAAATAACACACAGTTTAACGACTTGGGATGTATTCCTTCCTCTAAAAAAAAAAAAAAAAAGAAACACAAATTGATCTTATAATTCTGGAGACCAAAAGTCCAAAATCAGCTTCATGGGGCTAAAGCCAAGGTGCTGGCATTCTGTATCTATTTCTGTCCCTCCTCTTCGCTTTTCTTCCCTTCCCCCTTCCCTTCCCTCCCCTTCTCTTTCCTTCCTCTTCCTTTCCCTCCCTCCCCTTCCCTTCTCCAGGATGATCTTGTGGTGTCCCTGGTGGATCCAGGCAGTGGTGGGGCTGAACTGTTTGGCTTTGAATCAGTCCAGCCCCTGGAGAACACCATTGTAAAAGCACATTTCCTGCCACCTGTTATTCATAAACTCAAGATACATTTATTGAGCGCTGAACACTGAGCTCGGTGAAAAGGATCCAGCAGTGAGCTAGACAGAGGTGGTCCTGCCTTGGGAGACTTTGCGATCTGGCAGGACGCTCCCAGACCTGTGCCAGTGTTTGCAGGTGCGGGCTCAAACTGGCTCGTAAGAGTCCATGGTTAATTTTTCAAGAATGTGCAAACCAGCTGTTAAACACAGCTAGACACAGCTATTATTAAAAATTAAATTATATTAACTTACAGTTAAATAAATTGTATTGAAACAAAGGTAATGAACACTCAAAACTCATCATGTCTTAATTATTGTGCTATATTTCGCACTCGTTGATGCTCCCGTACGTTATTTATGTCTACTGAATCTGTATGGTGGAAATACCACAATGGTGCACTGCTGTGTATCTCTTCCCAGCTCCACTCGGTGGCACCAACCTTGGTACTTTGAAATTGTTAGTATTTACACCATGGAGCCTAGCAAATGCTACACATCATGCTTTGTTTTAGAGAGATATATATTTTATTTATTTATTTATTTATTTATTTATTTATTTATTTATTTTTCAGATGGAGTCTTGCTCTGTCGCCCAGGTTGGAGTGCAATGGTGCAATCTCAGCTCACTGCAACCTCTGCCTCCCAGGTTCAAGCGTCTCTCCTGCCTCAGCCTCCCAAGTAGCTGGGATTACAGGCGCCCGCCACCACGCCTGGCTAATTTTTGTATTTTTAGTAGAGACGGGTTTTCACCATGTTGTCCAGGCTGGTCTCAAACTCCTGGCCTCAGGTGATCCACCCGCCTCAGCCTCCCAAAGTGCTGGTATTACAGGCATGAGCCACTGCGCCCAGCCACATCATGCTTTTTTTTTCTTTTTCTTTTTCTTTTTCTTTCTTTTTTTTTTTTTGAGAGCCAGTTACTAAAGATGTGTAGCATACTACTGCCTGTTCCCCACTGCATAGTCCAGGTCATCCTGAATCTTGATTGTCTTAGCTTTCAGCTGGAAGTTGTTTCAGTGGAGTTGGAGTGGAAGGTGGGTCCTTGTCGGGGAACATTCAGAACCTCTTGTTCCTCCTCAGAGGCCTGTGGGTGAGTGTACAGGCATGCAAGCCCTCAGTTCTCTGTCTCCCAGGCAGGGGCCACTTCTCTGAGGTTCCAGCCTTACCTCCTCCAAATAAAATATAAGCCTGGCTGCTGCATCAGAAAACAGCTGTTCCCACAAAGCTTGCAGGGCTTAATTCCGATTATAGACACAGCTGGACCGCAGTTCACATGCCAACATGTAACTAACTTTCACTTCACTCACATTCTCAGGAAAATTGATGATTTTCTGCCGTTTTATTACACTTGATGATAATTTAAAAGGCAGGTTTAGTGCATCCATAAAACTGACTTTTTTGTGTAACATCACAAGCAACAAGCTTGTGATGTTACAAAAATATATTTGGCCGGGGCCTATTGTTTGGAGTTATAAAACAGAAGCCAGGAAGGGCTTTCCAAAGGGGCTGTTCATACCAGCATCCTTTGCCTCCGAACCCCAGCCCATCATTGTCCCACTTCTGGGAGGTAGTGAGCTGGCCTGGGTCTTTTTCCTGCACATGCCCACCTCAGTCAGACTGAGTAGGATGATCTCTGCCTCCATCCCTGACAATGCTCACTAACCACTGACACTGGGAATCATCACCCAAGTTCTGGGGCAGGCATGCACCGAACACACTGCTGGGGCCCTCCAAGGGCAGTGCTGGCTTCCGAAAGGGAATTTATAGCCGGCTAATCAAAGCTTAATTACAGCAGCTCAGCGGGCTCCAGCAGGAACTCAGGCCGAAATGGTTTTGCTAGGAAACTTTTTATGAGCTTAAGCAGAAGCAGCAAATTAGCAGGAATGAGAAGAAAATCATCCTCCCTTAACCATGTCCCTGAGCTGGGAATCTGCAGCGTCACCTTGCAGAGTACAGTTCTGGGTGGCCCAAGAGGTGAAGACGGGGGTGTGGGAGCAGCCTGGGTGTGGTCCCCTGTTCTCCATGGGCTGGAGCTGCATGACTTATGCTCCCTGAACCCCCCCCACCCCTCCTGCACACACTGCGGTGAGGATCAGGAGGCAGCCTCACATCTCTTCTCACCTCTCACCTCTTCATCTCCACTGCCCCCCGCATGGCTAAAGGACATCACACAACCTCGTGCAACCATGTGGTCTGGAGAGTCTCCTCATTCTTAGACATCTACCTCATCTGAACTCTCAGTTCCTCCTGAGTGCATCTGATCCATAAACTCTTCCACCTCTCCTCTTCCATATTTTAAAATTTCTTTCCTCTTCACCAATCTGCATTCCGCCACTCAACTAACTCCTTATCTCTTGTTCAGCCAAGGACCTGCCTTCCAATTCCCCTCCCACTCCCCTGCAGAAAAACAGCCTCCAAGTATTATCAGGAACATCTCCAAATCCCACTCCTCTACACCTTTGCACCCACATTTTCCTGCATCCACATCCCACTTTCTTCCTCCCTCGCTTCTCTGAGGAAAAGCAACTTTGTAATCATTGAAAGGCACACAAAACCTGGGTTTGAATCTTGTCATTGCCACTAATTAAAATGTACTTTCTTAGGCAAATAATGTAGCCTCTCTGAGCCTCAGCGTCCTTATCTGTAAAATGGAAATAAGAAAATCAGTAATATGAGGTGGCAGTAAGCCATTCCATTAGCTAATCTATGTGCCGTTAAACACCACACTTGCACATTGTAACACTCAAGAAATGATAGGTATTATATTTAATTGTAAAATGGACAGCAGAAATCCACAGAGTTTACAGCTGCCCCCTAAAAAGAGGATCTGGTTTCTAGAAAGATGAATGAGAGTTTTCAGATCCCTATGTCTATTATCAGTGGTCATACCCAAAAGGGGCTGGCTCTGCATGAGGAGAGAGTCCAAGGGAGAGATTGCATGAGGCCAGCAAGGAAGAAGAAGAAATAGAAACTGGGGCCTTGGGACAGCAGGGAGCCTAGGGCTGGCCAGTGCAGGAGCTTCCTGCAGAGACTGGAAGACAGAGCAGAGCTCCCAGGGGTAGAGAGCAGGCACGGGGGTGTACAGGGCTGATTTCAATTGTCAGTGAAAGTAGGCTTCTGGAATTCATCATTTTATTCACAAATTAAGAAAGGACCAAAACATGCTTTGTGCTGTTCTAGCCCACGTAGATGCTTTCTTTCAACTTTATGAACTTCTCTAACAATGAATAAAACCACTCTGGCATGACAGGCGCCTGTATTATTCTGTGTGGATTCCTTATTCCTAATGTCATCAATTACAATAATCAGATCACTGTAACACCGGGTTGGAGCAGGGCCGTTGCTGAGGGGCAGGCAAGCGAGACCGCGGCTGTTCAGAACCGCTCGCTCGTGTTTCTAAGGCACTGAAAGACGACTGGAAAATGTGATTGCCCTTAAGTTTTAAATTACCTGCAATCATTAAAATAATCTAGTTCATATTCATAAAGCTGTGATTATATTTTACATACCCAGTAAACACTTTATGAGAAAAACCCACAATTCTGCAGTGAAATAGAGAGGCTAGATCTGATGGAGTCAAAATGCGAAGACGTGTTGGCGTGAAATCGGCCCAAAACACTGAGGTGGGGGTTGACCATTGACCATGGAACATGTTCCCTGCCTCTGTGGTGGGCGGTGGGCTGAGTTTTTGAAAGGTTATTAGACAGATGAGGAACAGAAGAGACAAGGGGGAAGGGAAAATAGCCCAATTCCAGTATTTCCAGAGTTTTCCGAGGCCCATAGGTATCTCTTGGCTACCTCCATCCATCCCACCGGACAACAGCGGTGAAAGGTCATGGTGCCCTAAACTCAGCACCATCATGTGCACCCTGGGACCCCTGGAGGAAGAATGCCTCTTACTCTTGTTTGATAGATGGGGAAATTGAGTCTCAGAGAGGTTAAGCGATTTTCCTAAGATCGCACAGTAAGTGGGGAAGTCAGACACCACCCCAAGGTCTGTGTGACTCCAAAGCCCATACCCCACATTTGTTGAGGCCTCTTGTCCAAGGACACATGGTAGTGAATGGCAGACTGGTGCTCTCCTGGCTGGGTAACATGTGGGGCCTCACCTCCCAGCCTCTTCCAGATCCAGGTGCTTCTTACTGTGCCTTTCAGTTACTTTTTACTGTGACATGATCCAGTCACCCCCAGCATTCAGTGGAGCGCCCCAGGTGAAGCATTGAGGGCAACGCCCACTGGACACCGCGTCTGAAGCAAAGCATTTTGCAAAAACCCGACTTGAAAAAATATATATATATCATCCATTTCCTTTTTTACCAAGATACATTTTTGACACCAATGAGGCTTGAGAAAGCCCAATATAACATCCCTCTCTTCCCACCAGAATCAGACAAATGGAGATCAAAACTCCAGCTTCGGTGCACAGGAGAACACAGAACCTCTTCCCCGGAACTACAGATCTGCCTCGCCCAGGCAGAGCCCACTCAGCTAGTGAAAAAAGATGCAGGGAACCTTTCTGCAGGCAGGCAGAACCTAGAGAGAGGAGGGTCGGGAGCTGAGCATGCTCAGTGCCTTCACCCGAACCCACCAATCAAAGGAGTTCCTCCTCTTCCCAAGGGGAGGCGGGGGTGAGCGAGTGAAGAGCTAGGTCTGGGAGATGTTTCAGTGGAAATGCTTCTCCCTGCAAACCAGAGCAGTGGTAAATGATCACTCCTCCTGCCCCACAAACAATAAAGACTCTTTAGATAAAGAGAGAAAATCATTTCTAATCCTTTGGCTCTTCACTCTTCCCTTTTTCGAGTTCCTTTGGCTGCCCTGCACATTTGATATGATTGCATCAGTCATTGGGCACTGATGCCATTCAGTGCCAGCTGTGGTGGGGATCTCCCAGGGCTGCTCTGTAACCATTGTGGCCATATCCACTGGGTGGGAGAGGTTCCATGGGGCAGGATCCCATCATTGAAGCACCCTCCACTCTTTACTGATGGGTTGAGGGCTGCTTCCAGATGGGTCATCACGAATAATTCTACAGCCACCATGGTGTACACATACCTTTTAGCCTGGCCTCAGCCATTCTTCCCCAGGTGTGCTGTCTACCCAGACTCCCACAAAGTCCTAGGATGACTGCGGTTGGGAAATATACAAAGTACCCAAGGAAATCCCATCCCCTTAAAGTTATAGAGACAGAGGTGATTTTTTCAGGTGTGCACTCTGAGGACCTTAGCAAATAGTAGGCATTTGTGGGAAGGGGCCAGGGCTCCACTGGGCATAAAATGGCCAGCACTTTAAGTAGCTTCTGTCTGCCCTACTGTAGTTCCAGAGCCACTCAGGGAATCTTCTCACTCATTAGGCATTGCTCCACATACCTGCAGCTTGCTGTGAGATCCAGGGACCCCGGAGTTGGCATCCCACAGCCCCAGAAGGTGGACAGGGCAAGTGACACCTGGTGCTATGGTTTGAATGATGATGTCCCCCCAAAATTCATGTGTTGAAACGTAATCACCAGTGTGACAGTGTTAAGAGGTGGGGCCTTTAGGAAGATGAATAGGTCCTGAGGCCAGAGCCCTCACGAACGGGATTGAGTCCCTTACAGAAGACGCGTCACTCAGTGTCTCTTGGCCTTCTGCCTTCCACAATGTGGACGTGAGAGCACAGTGCCATCTCCAGAGCAGAGAGCAGCCCTCCCCATTCAACAAGACCGGCACCTCAGCGTCTCACTCTGGGACCCACGCAGACAGAGCACAGCCACCATCTGGATCATTGCTGGTCCCTGTGCGGAGGGAAGGAGAGCTTGGTGAATCGCTCCCTGGTTCTTAAAGATTAACCTACCACGTCCAGCCCTACTTCCCTGGCCAAAACAAGTCATGTGATCACCCCCACCTTCCGGGACTGAGCAAGTTCAAGACTACTCTGTGCCCAAGAGAACTGGAAAGATCTGGTGGGTAACACTGCCAGGCCACACATCCAGCCCCCCCACCCACCCTGCACCTGGCTCTGTATTGGTATTGAGCAGAGACATGAAGCCCAGACTGCTTTCTAGAACTGTGCTGTCCGATGCTGTAGCCAGCTGTGCCTGCTGAGCGCTTGAAATGTGGCTAGTGCAAATTTAAATGTGCTCTAAACATAAAATCACACACCCAATTTCAAAGACTTGGCATAACAAAAAGAATGTAAAATAGCTCGTTTATGCCTTTTCATTTTGATTACATATTGAGATGACATTTGGGATCTATGAGGTTAAGTAAAGTATGTTATTAAATTTAATCGTACCTGTTCCTTTTTTTTTTTTTTTTTTTTTTTGAGACAGAGTTTCGCTCTTATCACCCAGCCTGGAGTGCAATGGCGCAATCTCGGCTCACTGCAACCTCTGCTACCTAGGTTCAAGCAATTCTTCTGCCTCAGCCACCCGAGTAGCTGGGATTACAGTTGCTGGCTACCACGCCTGGCTAATCTTTGTATTTTTAGTAAAGACTGGGTTTCACCATGTTGGCCAGACTGGTCTCGAACTCTTGACCTCAGGTGGTCCACCCACCTCGGCCTCCCAAAGTGCTGGGATTACAGGCGTGAGCCATCAAGCCTGGTCTATTCCCTTTTTTGATGTGGCTACTAGAAAATTTTAAAATTGCATTTGGGGCTCACATTAGATTTCTATTAGACAGCGCTGTTCCAACACCTCTGATCCCGGCCAAGAGTGAGACAGAGCTTGCAAATGAAATCAAGTGGATCCAGCTGTGAGTCCAGCAGTCACTGGGGGTGGGAGTGGGGTCCTCTCAGACTCAGCATCTGCCCAGCCACAACTTTGACTCCTTGACAAAAACCTCGTGAGCCCTCCCTGAAGATGGAGCCACTGCCTCCACCCTGGGCTGGGACCTCACTTTCTGCTCTCCCTGGGGGCCCCCTTACTGCATGACACAGGCAAGCCATGGGGTATGGCAAGGAGCATCTCTGCCACAGTCTGATGCCCAAGGAACTGCAGCCAAGAAGGCGCAATCGCCTGCGGAGAAGTGTTAATAAATATTTACCGAGCCCTTTGACAGTGCCAAGAGAGACTACAAATCAGTCCCAGCAGGCGCCGAAACGAGTCTCCTGAGGCTGGCAGCCAGAGGCGCCACCACATAGGGCCGGAAGCCCGCTGACTTCCGGCTGCTTGTACCTACCCTGAGTGGCCCAGGCAGCCCCGTTTACAGAAGCTGTGAAAGAGGACAATCTCTCACTATTGATTTTGTGCCTCTCCCTGCGACCGCCGCCCTGGGTAACTCACAACGTATGGATTTTTCTATAAACCCTAAATTAATATCTGCAGCAGGTGGGAATATACTGCTGCCCAATGCGGTGAAGCCTCCTGGCCCCACTGGGCTGAAAATTGGAGGACACGCAGCCTGTGACTGTCCCTCCTGTGCCTGGGTCCACAGGCTGACCTCTGCTTTTAGCAGTCAGCAGGCTGGGGGCGTGGAGGCTGGCCTGCTGGGCTATGCATCCAACCCCCAGCCCCCAGCTGGGATTCTTGTGTTCTCTGTGTTTGAATGAGGCTGTGCATACAGGAGTTGTGAATGCAAGTCACCTCAGGGCCCTCCATTCATTAAGGAGAGACTCTCTGCGATGGCAAGGAAAGAGCGGGGACTTGGCATTTACTGAACTTCAGTTTACTCCCAGCTCCACCCCCAGCCTGCAGTGTGGCTTTGGAAAGTTACTTCATAACCTCTCTGTGCCTCTGTTTCCCATCAGTAAAATGGGAATGGTATCATATTAACATGACAAGGTTGATGTCAGGATCATTTACTTGCACAGCAAATGCAAAACAAGATCATTTCACTTGAGTAAGAGCTACGAAAGAAATAAGCAAGGTGACTTTGGTAGACTCCTTGAGGTAGGGTGGTCAGAGGGGGTGTCCCTAAAGAGGTGACATTTGGGCATAGAGCTAAAGGGAGGGAAGGCACCAGCCACACCAAGAGCTGGGGAGAGGGAACAGCTAGTGCAAAAGCCCAGAGGAGGGTAAAAATAAAGGAAATTTGACTACGGAAATGTACACAGCATTTTCCCCTGCAGGGAGCAGAAGCCCAGGGGTGTGAAGTTCCCACTTTTGCTCTGAGGGGAGGGACACCTGCTAGGGCAGTGGGTAGAAGTGGGGGATGACAGAAGAGAGAGGGAGAGTCCAGTCTTACAGATCTCCAGCCCCCATCTTCTGGGTCCGGTCACAGACCGGCTGGGAGCCCTGTCTCCTGAGCAGGGAGACAGAGAAGCAAGGCACTGCCCTGGGGGTGGAGAGAGAGAGCTCAAGCCAAGTAAACGTTTGCTGCAAATGCTTCTAATCCTATTGCCTTTAATAAAACTGCTAATTGGGTTTGGAAGTCTCCCTCAGAGCCTGGCTGAGCCAGTGGGTTGCTTAGCTCCTTTCCAATCCTTCCCCACCCGAGATATCTCCTCTGCTTCCATGAATTAATTCAACCCAATATTTCAGGGTATACAGAGGGAGGAGACTGTGTTATGCGTATCTATCTATCATTCATTCACTCACATTTATATTTACTGAGCATCTACTATGAACTAGATGTTGCCCAGGCTGCTGGGGATACAGCAGCAAATCAAAGAGACAAAACTCCCTGCTGTCGGGGAACTTCCGTGCTAGGAAGGAGCTAGGCCAACAGTGTGTAAACGGGGTGGTAAGTGCCTAGGGTGAAAACAACCAGGGCAACAGGATGGGAAATGGAGAGGAGGGTTGTAATTTTAGATCAGGTGGCTGGGAAAGGCTTTGTGGAGTTGGGGACATGTGGTGAAGAGCGGCATCCACCAAAGAAGATAGTGGGTGGACATCTGGGGAAAGGTCTTCCAGATAGAGGGGACAGCCAGTGCAAAGACCCTGACATAAGAGTGAGCATGGCATGTTTGGGGAACAGCAAAGAGGCCAGTGTGGCTACAGCAGAGTGAGTCAGGGGAGAGGATTGGAAATGAAGCCAGAGAGGTGATGGTATCTCACAAAAGCCCTTCTACCATACCTCAAGGTACATACCATCAGCCCCCTTTCACAGATGAGGCATGGGAGGATTGAGGGAAAGAAGTGCTTAGCCCACGCTCAGGTTGCAGTATGCTCAGAGTCTGGGTTTAAGCACTTGTCTCTATGAGCACGTCTCTATGACATCACTGGGTGTCATCAACAGGGAGGGACAAGAGCAGGGATGCCTCCCTCACCACCCAGTGGCACCAAGTATCAGCCAGTTGATATTGTTCTAGTATCATCCTACTTCATAGAGGCAGAAAAGGATGAAGTCAATTGTCTGAGGCTATGCTGCCAGAGAGTCGGGCTTCAAACACAGATCTGTCTGACTTCAGTGCTCACACTCACACCAGATTGCCGAACTGGTTGATCCCTGCATTTTGACGAGACAGGCACTCAGCCCAGGAAGAGGGGGCTAGTAGGAACAGAGAAAGGCACAGATCCCATCCTCCTGGGATGTGGCCTGGGATTCCATCCATCCATCCATCCATCCATCCATCCATCCATCCATATTTCTGTTCATCCATTTATCTATTCACCAATCCATTCATCCATCTATACTTTTGTCCATCAACCTATCCATCCATTCATCTATATTTTTGTCCATCCATCTATCCATCCATTCATCTACATTTTTGTCCATCCGTCCATTCATCCAGTCAGTCAGCCTCCTATCCACGAACATGTTTGTCTGTCTGGCTGTGTACTGGGAACCTGTGCATGGGCCACAAGCAAAAGTTTTCCCTGTAGCTCATGGGGCTGGCAATGAGGCTGACCCTTTGGCTCACCTCCCTGCCACATTCCACACTCCAGAGCCCACCAGGCAGCCTCACCCACCACATGCCCATCAGAACGACACATCCTGGGACTTCTTGTCATTTCCTGTCCAAGATTCCATTATGAGGTGTGATTGCTGAAGTATTAGACAGATAACGGATCAGTCCGAGCCCCGCCTGGCGCACCGGGCAGCTGCCGGGTTTTTCCCATTAGCCACAGGGCTTGACGGACAGTAATGGATTTCATACTGATGCTGGAGCCTGCGGCGGATAATTCCGTGATAACAGTTTATCACCCACTGACGGGAGGTAATGGGTAATCACCAGGAAGAAAGCAAACCCATCAGGGAGCCCTGGCCTCCGCCCAGCCTGGCTCTACCTTTGTTGTGCCAACTGCCACTTTCCAACTCGAGGGCCAACTCCCGTCTGTGTCCTGAAGGATGGCAGAGCTGCTGGTCCACTGCGCATGTATGTGTCCAGGCCAAGCCTGGCTGGGGTGCCCAAGGACTGTTTGCAAAGACTCTCACAAGAGATTCTTTTTTCTCTTTCAGCAAGCCCCAGCCACCTTCCTTTCCACTGAGACTTGCAGCAAACTTGGGAGAAGACGAAGTGAGGGTTTCAAGGACAAAGCAACCAGTACATCCTCTAGTCCAGTCCTCCTATGCACAGCCCCAGGCTCCAGGCCAGGATATCAGAGGGAGACTTTGGCTACAGTGTGTGTGCCCCGGCTGTGTTCTCTGCATCCTAGAAAGCACTCACTGGATCCAGGGTGGTGATGACCCCCTGCCACCACCTTCCGTCTCCTTGGGGGGGTCCCCTGCCCCCATCCTCACCTTCATAAACACTTGAGTATGCCATCTGTCCCTCACCAGGACTTCCCCAATAGACACTGTCTCTTCCAAATCTGCAGAAGAAAATAAAATAAAATGAATGGATACAATTTCCTCCCATTTCAGAATGGTCCCCTTTTTAATTTTGTTCTAAACATCCAGGTCCTCCTTGTCTCTCACTGCTCAGAGAGAATAAAACAAATCAATGAGCACCAAATGATGATTAGTGAGAAACTTACATTGGGCTCTTCTTGTTCAGTTCTGCCTGGGGTTTCCATGAACTTGTGTCCTTGGGCACGACTGGGATTTCCCAGTTTTTTAGAGGGTGTACATCTCATTAAATTGAACATTTCTAAGTCACTTCAACTAAAAATTCCCGAATTATAACCCCAGTTTCCTTTGCAGAATTTGTATCATTGGAATTTTAGCAGTTTCTGTGGGTTCCCAAGACCCTCCCCACAAAGAACCAGGTCTAGAATCTCAGATCTGGGCATGGGGGCGCGGAAGTGCTGCAGTCATTGGCTGTAGACAAGAAGCTCCCTTCTAAAGACCAAAGGAGGGCCCAGGAAGTGCTGCCTATGCTCAGGGGATGTGAGGAGCCTGGGCCCAGGGGATGGGTGCTCACAGGCAGGTGCAGCTGCACTGGCCTTGAAGGATGGATAGAAAGGAGGCCTCTTTGTTGAGGGCACCACGGGAGCTTATTAAATATGGATTATGTGCCAAACACCTTTTCAAGTCCTCTACAAACCGTGCCTAATTTAATCCTGACACCATTCTAGGAAGGGAGTTCTAATGATCAATATCACCCCTTTTTCACAGATGAGGAAACTGAGGCACAGTGATGTTAGCTAACTGCCCTCAGTCATACAGCTAATCAGCAGAGGAGCCAGGACTCAAAGCCAGGCAGTCTGGGTCCAGAACCTGTGTCCTAACCACGACACTATGCTGCTTCTCCCAAGCAGCCGTGGCCACTTGAGGCCCTGCTGGGACATTCACAGCCCTGACCAGACTGTGGGCCCGGCTTCCTCTTAACAGTAGAGTTTTTCAGGGACTGCTGGCTGGAGCTGCCTTGTTCGGCTTCCAAGAGCTGACTGCACACTTCCCCACCCAATTCTGTGTTCAGTGATGTCAGGTAAGCAGCTTCAAATCAGCCATGGTGAGCAGGCATGTTTGCTTAGATGAGCAAACACCACAAAGCAGGGCTTTTCCCCCTCTGGAGAGCCAGCTGTTACCTGTTTGCCAGCACAGCACCAGTTCCTGGGGCTGGGGAGATGACAGATTCTGTGCAGGTCAGTGAACACACAAAGGAAGGAGTGGGTAAATGTGTTGGCCCCAAGCTCAGTCAGGACTGTCTTTATTCATCACGGAGGTAACGCTTGAGCCAAAATCTCATTCAGTTATGCACTCATTCACTCACTCGCTCATTCAACATGTTTATTTAGCACCAAGGTGGGCACCGAGAAGACAGAGACAGGTGCAAGGGGAGCCTCAGACCTGGGAACAGGCAGTAGCCATGCAGCCTGCTCCGTGGGCTGTGGTGGGTGAGGACAAGGAGGTGCTCCCCCGGGAGGTGCTCCCCCGGGAGGTGCCCAGGAGGGCAAGGTGTCTGGGGCAGCATTCCAGGCAGAGAGGCCTTTGATCTCCACACTGCAGACAATGCAGTCTCTTTCCATGTAAATCTGATCATGCCCCTGCCTGGAGCCTGGAAGAGCTTCCCATTGTTCTTGGGTTCAAAGACTGAGATGGACTGGATGCTGAGGAAGCCCAGCCTCCTGCCCACCCCCGCACCGCTTCCTCTTGGCCTCACCCCATTTCCCATTCCCAAACACACAGGCCTTCTCCTGGGTGTGCAAGGGTACCAGGCTTCCTCGCCTTAGGGCAAGTGCCCAGTGTTCCCTTTGCTTGGAATGTCATGTGTGCACACATGCACATGCACACAATACACACTTGTGAGCACACACACACTCTCTCTCTCTCAACTCATTCCCCCTCACCTGGCTGACTCCCCATCGCCCTTCAAATCTCAACTCAAATGCCATTTCCTCTGGAGCCTCCTCTGACCCTTCTATGTTCCCCACCCCTGCCAGCCACACTGAGCCCCCACATGCTCCCAACGCTGTACTCTATGAACACACTGCAGAGTCTGGGACTGAACATCCGTTTGTGTGATTATGTGGCCAATATCTATCACCCATTCCTAAACCAAAAGTTCCAGAGGGCAGAGCCTTTGTCTCCTTTGTGCCTAGAACAGTGCCCAGCCACAGTAGGTGCTCCATAATTATTAGACAGATGAATGAAGGGATGCAGTGGCACACACAGGCACAGGTAAAAGCATGAGATGTGTGAAGGAACTTCAGGTGGCTCCCTGCAGCTGGAGCCCGCTGCACAGTGAGGAGAAGTAGAGGGGAGGCTGTGGAAGGAGGGGCTCAGGTCCATCCTTCCTAGGGGACAGGCAGAGTGAATCCTCACACCTGCTCCTGTTCTTTAACTCTTGAGGGCCCAGCACAATGAGGAGGAGGATTGGGACAGACAGACAAACAAGGGCTAGCCCAACTGCCTTGGAGAGGCCAGTAGCTGAGCTGGAGGAAAGCCACCACCCCCTCCCCCAACCCGTCCCCACCCCTGCTGGGCTGAGCACCAAGACTAATTAAACTGGATTTGCTCAGCCAGGCCCTGGAGGGGGCAGCTCCGAGCACTCCAGATGGGCTCTGTTTGTCAATTTGAAAACTAATCTCTGACTATTTAAACAGCAGCTTATCTGGGCCCAGACCAGGATTAGCATTTGGCACCTTGGCTGAAGAGGGTGGGTGGCACTCCCCAGGTGTTAGGAAAGGATTTGAGGGCGAATTTCTTTCTAGAAAGAAGAGCTCAGAGCTTCTGCTCCCAGCCCACCAGCCCTGAAGGCAACCCCAAGACTGACCAGTAACTTGCTCAGCAGGGGCCTCTCCCCCAGCTTTCCTTACCTCCGGGGTACACCCCTGTCCTGGAGCCACCAGAAGCTGGAAAAATCAAGAAAAGATTCTTCCCTGGACCTTCTGGAAAGGATAGAGCCCTGCAGACACCTAAATGCTGGAGCTGTGCCTTCTGGAACTATGACAGAATAGATTTTTTTCTTAAGCCAGCAGTTTAGAGTAATTTGTGATGCCAGCTCTAGGAAATAAACTCAAGCCCTCTACTAGTCCTGACCTCAGAACCAGCTAGGTGACAACCAGGGAAGAGTGATGTCTCAGAAGCAAGCAGAGATGTCTGGGGCTCAGGCCTTGGGCTTCTCTCTCCACTCTCTCTCCCTAGATAAGCTCATCGAGGACAAAGCAGTGCTAGATGCCTTCTGTAAACTGAGGATGCACGAATGTGGGTCTCCAGCCATACCCCTGTCTCCCAACGCGAAATTCACATATACAACTCCCTGCTAGGCATTCCATTGGCCTGAGAGGCACCCCAAATTGTATACAACCTAAATGAAACTCAGGCTTCCCTTGAGACCCATCTCCTCTCCCACCTCCGCATCTCACTAAGCAGCACCCAGCAGCTCAGGCCAAAGCCATTGCCTGCTTTCCCTCATGCCTCATATCCAGGTCCTTGGCAAATCCCACTGGTTCGACCTTGAAACTATATCCAAAAACCAACCCCTTCCCCACTATGATTGCTCCTGTCCCAGCCCCAGCAACCATCATCTGCCTGGACGGCTGGCGTGGCTTCCAGCTTCCACACTCCACCCGCTGTCCACCACCCACGGCAGCCAGCGGGAGCCTGCTAAAGCGTGACTCAGACTGCGCCACCCCCTTCTTAAAAAGCCTTCAGTACTGCAATGAACATACGCATGCACGTATCCTTATAACAGAATGATTTATATTCCTTTGGGTATACAGCCAGTAATGGAATTGCCGGGTCAAATGATATTTCTGCCTCTGGGTCTTTGAGGAATCGCCACACTGTCTACCGCAATGGTTGAACGAATTTACACTCTTACCCATAGTGTAATAGCGTTCCTATTTCTCTGCAGCTTTTCTCTGCCAGCACCTGTTGTTTCTTGACTTTTTAATAATCTCCATTCTGACTGGCGTGAGATGCTATCTCATTGTGGATGTGATTTGCATTTCTCTGATGATCAGTGATGTTGAGTTTTTTTCATATGTTTGTTGGTCACATGTATGTCTTCTTTTGAGAAGTGTCTATTCATGTCCTTTGCCCACTTTTTAATGGAGTTGCTTGTTTTCTTGTAAATTTGTTCAAGGTCCCTGTAGACTCACAATAGCAATGACATGGAATCAACCCAAATGCCCATCGATGATAGACTGGATAAAGAAAACGTGGCACATATACACCAAGGAATACTATGCAGTTATTAAAAGGATCAAGATCATGTCCTTTGAACTGAGAGGCATTATCCTCAGCAAACTAACACAGGAACAGAAAACCAAACAGCGCATGTTCTCACTTATAAGTGGGAGCTGAGTGACGAGGCCACATGGACACATGGCAGGGGACACACACTGGGGCCTGTTGCATGGTGGGGAGAGAGAGCATCAGGAAGAATAGCTAATGGATGGTGGGCTTGAATACCTAGGTGACAGGATGATCTGTGCAGCAAACCACCACATGTTCAGCTATGTAACAAACCTTCACATCCTGCACATGTACCCCTGAACTTAAAATAAAAGTTGAAGAAAAAAAAAAGCCTTCAGTGGCTTCTCAAGATCCTGTATAGTTCCCTGTCCTCACTGGGACTTGAAAGGCCAGGGCTCCTGACCTGTAGCTCTGCCTGTACCTGGGCCCTCCGCTCCTTCCCTCACTCATGGCTCCCACCCAGCCTGGTGGCTCACCCCATCCCCTCCCCTGCTCCCTCTGCCTAGAATGCCACACCCCTCTCCCAGAGCGTTCCTTCCGCTCATTCAAGTTCTTTCTCAGATGTAGACTCCTCGGAGAGCTATTTTCCAACCATGCGATTGAAAACTCTTTATCACTTTCCCCAGCATCAATTCCCCCACCTCTCTGTTTCGGCTTCCTGTGTGTGTCTGTTTCTGTGTCTGCGTGTGTCTGGTCTGCGTCTGCGTGTATTTGTGTTTGGGTGTCTATATCTGTGAGTGTGTGTGTGTCTTGTGTTT